AATATGCTAAATTTGGTTTATGAATGTTGAAACAGTTTTGTGAAAAGTGAGGGAATATTTGTAAGAATAGAATGTTCAAGATAACATTTTTACGCAAAAGACGAAAAATGGAGAGGTAATTGAAAAAAAATCTTAGAATTTTTTACAGTAATAATATTTCATAATCATATTGTCAAACTACAAATTTATATAATTGTGTTAAGGTGTTTTAGAGAAGATGCAAGAATAATATTAATAAACTACATTCCCTCATATAACAGCATATTAGATGCAGCTTTATACACAGAGTGGTTCCTAATAAATTACACAAACCTCAGTTAAGCTCAGTAAAGCTGATGGGCATCTTCTAACTAGACAAGCTAATGCAAGAGCACTGCTCCATTATTACATCTGACAGTAAGCTGAAAATGTGGGCCAAGTCTATTGAGGGCAGGAAACCACTGGTTTCATAGGTCTTGCTTCTCTGGGAGATGCATTATGAATGGGATGAGTATGACAATGAACAAAAGGATGGATGGAATGTGTGTTTAGAAGAGGAAGAAATGAAAAATGAAGTTCAGGGAGAGAAGAGACAGTGAGGTGGATAATGGAGAAGAAGGTCAGGGAGAAAGAGAGAGGCAAAGAGAGGTGCGTTGGTGACCCGGGCCACACTCATTAGGCTGGATGCCCAGACGGAGTGTCCAAGTGCTGAGATTCTCTCCAATTTACATCAAAGCCCCTGGGACACAAGACCAGGCTCCAGATCGAGTCAAACGTTCAAGTGATGCAGAAAAAGAGAGGTCTGGCCAACTGGGGTTAAGAAAAAATTAATTCTGAGAGCACACATGCCAAGATGGGCTTGTGGTTCCTGACCAAACAACATCATGGAGCAATTTATGTTCTAAAATTGAAATATGCAAATCTAATCAAAATGAATATGAGGGAAAGGAACAGGGCCGGGTTGACTTTGACTTTGAGGTCTTCAATGTGATGTCTGTTAATCTGAGCTTCATGTAGTCTTGTATTTAGCATACTAACAGCTTACAGGCTGATGATGGATTATTGGAATTTTATACGGAATATCGAGGTTCTGTACACAGTAAGAGAAATATCTGTAGAAAAGTGGATAATGTCCTGGCAGAAAATTAACAGAACTTTTCTGTTAAGTTTACGGACATTTCCTTCAACCCTAAAACACAACACAATGCAATGTGCAATTTAAAATACCACCTCTGAGAAATCAATATGAAAAAATGATCTCATATTAACCGTTTATTGGGTGTACACTTATGGACTTTTCTTAGATTGTAAAAATACTAAATGGTAACTACTTCATGTCTGATCCAGTAAAAAAAAAATCCGCTTTGTCATCACGGGAATAAATTACATTTTAAAACATAAGAAAACAGTAATAGACAAAGGTGTCGTCGTTTCCGCAGTATTTTCATTTTTGATATTTTTAGGTCAAACTGTTCTTGTCTGTCAGTCATATAATGCAGGTCTATGGTCACCACCTCAAAGAGCATGCACAGAGAAGTCCAAATTAAACATGATTTAATGACTCGTAAATGTAAGTGCACATTGATGGCCTAAGACACGAAACGAGCGGTTTGTGTGGGAAAAAGAACAGTGTTTATATCGTTTTTACCTCTTGTTACCACCGCCACAAAGTGCTCAGATCACTTGGACGTGGCTGTGATTACAAGAGGTAAAAACGATATAAATACTGTTTGTTTTCTCACACAAACCGCTCGTTTCATGTCTTAGGCCATCAATGTGCACTTACATTTACGAGTCATTAAATCATGTTTAATTTGGACTTGTCTGTGCATGCTCTTCGAGGTGGTGACCATAGACCATAGATCTTCAGAATGGCATTTCTTGTTGGCCACAAAATATCCCCAAACTGAAAACGCTGGTGAAATGTAACAGTAGAGATAAGGGTCTGCGGTCAGAATTAATATTGTAATAATAGCCACATATCTGGCTAAATATTTATAAAATATGTTCTTTTGTGTTCAGCAGAAGAAAGTAATTCATACAGGTTTGGAACAAGATGAGGGTGAGTAAATGATAAAACAAATTTCATTTTTGGGTGAACTTTCCCTTTAAGTAGAATCTGAGAGTCTAGCCAAGATTGTACATTTATCCAAGCATCTTTCTCGTCATCTTTCATCATTGTTACTTGAACAATATAGCTCTGCTCTAGTTGCATGCCAGTACAACACAAAACACATATACAAGTGCTCAGAGATATAGAGCATGCAAATCAAAAGTGAAGCGGCACACTGGAGCATTCGCCCCTGGCATCTCTCTCACTTCCTTTTTCCTCAACTGTCCTAACTCTCTCTCTCTTTCATTCCATCTCTTCTTTCCAGGTCAGGCAGAAAGGATGCGATCTGTCTCTAATACCTCTCTTATAGTTCTGGATGAGACAAACTGGATGAAATGTGTGTGAAATTCTCACTCAGGCACATGTTTAAATTATGAATTCCTTTTAAATTACATTCAAAATTTGAACTAATTTTGAAACGAGTAAGCTGAATTACATCAAATATTAAATGGGCATCTATAAATATATTCTGAATTGTACACTTTTACTCAAGCACAAGATACATTCTCATTAAATATTGTATGCGAGAGCTGTAAATCGAGTTATGAGCATCTGCAATAATAACAAACACAGATAAACACTCTCCGAGGCACCAAAACCCCCACATGATACAGGGCAGCTGAAATCCCATCAAAACTTCTTAGTGTTGGAGAGATGCTTAACCATCATTTTGATGAGGATAGCAGAAAGGGGACATAAGAAGGGAGAGATGGAGAGAAACGGGGGGATTAAAACATCAGAAGGTAAAAATTCCACCCGGACTGATGTCCTGTCCCAAAGGAAAAAAGAAAGAAAAAAAAGAATAATCCTTCCCTTAAACGGACAGCCTGCACTTTACCACCCACAGAGTTCTCCAGTGCCACAGCCACACACACACACACACACACACACACACACACAGTAGCTGAGTAAGCAAATGTATATACTCTTACCAGCCTGTTTGTCCTAAAGATATACCTAAAGGTGCTGATCTAGGCCCAGCCTTCAATAAATAAAGCCAGATTGACAATTTACCAACACATGTTTATTTTTTTATCATGGCGAGAACGGTTTTTTTTTTTTATATTGAGCTATTAATAATGTTTTACATCCATGCCAGAATATTAGGCTATATTTGATTTTATATATTGCATATATTTTATCCAACCACAGCATTATTCTGAGACCTGAATTTACCAACATGCATTCATTTATATATCACAGAGGGAACTTTCCTTTGACTTCTATTGTTTTTATATTGAGATATTAATAATATTTTAAGCCTATACGCCTATTTATTTGTATGTTGTATTTTTATTTTTAATTTATATATATAGGCACAACTATCATCTATGCCTTAGCTCTGATGATTTCAGGTTTTACTATCCTTGTGGGGACATATGATCTCTATTAAGATAGCACAGACTGACCCCCCTACACAGAAAGCAATAAAAGAAGTAATTCCCATTCTCAAACATCAGTCATGGCTGAAAGGTCAGCTGAGGACACTTACGAGACATGAATTGCTTCAAATAAATGGCTAGTGTTACAGTTGGCACAAATCCTGAGAAATAACCTCTGCCCCTAGAGATCTAACCTGAAAAGATAATTCAAAATTGGTCAGAAGATTACACATCTCATGGACAGAATCCACAGACAGATAGTCTGTAAGGACAAATGAGAGCAAAACAAAAAAAAGTCTGCCAGCGGTGTTATGCAGTTAAACAGAGCTGATTCCGAATCCGAATGCTTCATAAGGATGCTGAGAGTTATCAGTGATGCAGACATCCACACACACACGGCTTTGTCCAATCACCCCTGCTCTCTGGATAACCCCGCCCTCTCTCCCGTTTGCCTCCAGGTGTTCATTTCTTTCTCAGTACGCCCCCCATTCCAGTTAATGACACTGATTGCATCCCTTGTCTAATGAACTCAGACAAAAAGGGAGAAGACTGTTTTTACCAGCTCTGAAATAACCTTAACCAAAAAGCAGAGGTCAGGAATGAAAAACGCCTCTGGTATCCAACATGATGCTTTACACCAACCTGGTTATAACAAATGCAACCCTTAAGCGATAATACCGTAGAAATTTCCATTTTTCCATTTCCTGTTAAGAATTTTTTTGTTGTGACATTATTTCAATGACAGTTAAGCACACTGCCCAAGTAATGCTAAATGAATATAATTTTTATTAGTAATTATAATTTAATCGAAACAGCTATTTTTTAAATTTTTTTATATATCATTATCTTTTTTTACTATATATATATATATATATATATGTGTGTGTGTGTGTGTGTGTGTGTGTGTGTGTGTGGTCAATATATATATATATATATATATATGGTTACACTTTACAATAAGGTCTCATGTTAACATTAGCTAATGTATAACTAACATGAACAAGCATTTATGATATTATGAACTAGTATTTATTAATCTTTGTTAGTGTTATTAAATACTAAATAAAAACGTATTCATAAATAAATCAGTTAACTAATAACTAATGAAACAGTATTGTAAAGTGTTACATATACATAACAACACTTTACAATACAGTTATATATCATATATAATTTATATCATTATATATCATATATATATATATATATTAAATTTTATGCAATTTGTGTAATCTGGATGTGTTGTATTAATGCTGAAAAGATAAATTAAATATATAATTAGGCTATATTTGATTTTTTTCAGCATTCATTTATTTTAAATACCTGAGATTACATATGTATAATATAAAACATCAACACAGTGGTAAAACAAAACACATATACCACACAACAGACTTCTGCAAAGGATATCACATCTTAATTCGACATAAAATGAATCAGGCCAAATAAATGATGTTTTTCTATATCTGTCCACTTTCATCAATGTAAAGTGCATACACTAATAAAAAGGGAAGAGCTCAACTCACCTCAACACATTTCCAGGTGTAAACATGTTTCTTTCTTCCTCGTCCGATGGCGATCTCCTGTGTGCAGCCACACCTGTAACGGTCATTTGCATGTACGTTAGCGTTTGAATTAGACATTTAAATAACTGCTATTTAAAGGAGCTAATCCTCAACCCCCCCCAGGATACTAATAAAGCAAATATGAAAGTGACTTGTGTAGTAAAAGAGAGGACTTGGCCAAGTACACTCTGAACTTATTATCATCTTGAGTAATAACTCCGAGGGGCCTTTTTATTCCACTTCCTGTTTACGCTATGGTGGGAATGTCTCCCAAAGTCAAAGTCTTTCAGTTGCACTCATCTGGCATGTGGAATTGTGGCTGCGGTTTACAACTGAGGAAGCTGGACTGTGCTTTTTCTTATCAGAGAGGGGGGGGGGGGGGGGGGTTGATTATATTAGTTTTGAAGTAATTTAGTTTAATTCTCAGTTTCCCACTGTTGTTTGAGACCCTGGATGGGTCTTTAACATATACATCTAGGCCTAAAACGATTGGCTATTGTTTTGATTGATTGATTGATTGGCTAAGGTCAGTTTACACCAGCAATCAGTTTCTGTCTGCATATGTGTCCCATGACTACAGGATCAAAGGAAAAGCTTTGTAGTTTCCGCTGTGAGAACTGGCCAAGACTTCGATAAGAAAATGAGTAACTAGATATCAGCATATTCCTTTGATGGTGTGCCAAGTTTAACCTACTAAAGTTTTGATGTCAAAAAAGTAGTTGAACGCCAATTAAATTGACAAACAATATATAATTTACTATATTTTATCAATTGACTTGCAAGATGATGTATACAATTTTGCAAATCAGTTAATGTCAGTTTATATACGCCTACTTTTTTTTTAATTACATTTGCCTGCCTTTTAATAGGGCTCTATATATACAAACATAAAAAATACAATATTTAAAAACTGATGAGCCAAAACATTATTTATGACCAGTCACAAGTGAAGCGAATATCGTTGATAATCTCCTAACAAGGTCTGGTTGGATTAGATGGTAAGCAAACAATCAGTTCTCATACTCAATGTGTTGGGTGCAGCAGAAATGGGCAGGAATTTCAAATCTGAGGGACTTTGACAAAGGGCCAAATTGTTATGGCAAGGCGACTGGGTTGTTCCTGGTCAGCAGTGTTGAACAGTGGTCCGAGAAACAAACCAAAAACCAGCCAAAGGTGTTGAGGGCTCATCAATGGCAACGAAGGCTATCCCGTCTGGCCCGAGCCAACAGAAGGTCTACTGTGGCACAAGTTTTATTGATGTTTATGGGAGGAATGTGTCACAATACACAGCGCATCACACTTTGCTGCACTGTCAAAGGTCCAAACTGGACCTTGGAGCAGTGGAAGAAGGTAGCCTGGTCTGATGAGTAATGTTTTCTTTTACATCAAGTGGATCAGTCATGTACGTGTGCCTTCACAAGTCGGTGGAGCGAGATTTTTTTTAGAAAAATGCGTTAATTTGACACGTGCCACCTCCCAAACATTGTTGCCAACCAGGTACACAATGGTGTTCGCTGGTGGAAGTGGCCTCTTTCAGCAGGATAATGCACCTTGCCAATGGTATGAGGAACTAGATAGATTTCAAGGTGTTGACCTGACCTCCAAATTCCCTTGATTTCAATCCAAATTGAGTACCTGTGGGATGTGCTGGACCTTTAAGTTTGCTCCACGGTGGCTCCACCTCACAACCTGCAGGACTTAACCAAATGTCTTGGTGCCTGATACCCAAGGACACCTTCGGCGTTCTTGTAGAGTCCATGCCTCAATGGGTCGGTGCTTTTTTGCCAGCAAATTTGATTGGTCTGTGTATAACTTTCTTCTTTTTGTATCACATTTCAGATTTTCTTGTTCAAGTACATAAGGTCATATAACAGCAGATGTTAGTCAATCCACTTGATCTGTGGAGCAAATAGGTTAAACACACAGTTAATATGGGTTATGGCATGTTGACTCAAAATTTCTCATGCTCAGATGCTCAGAAACAGTTAATAGTTAAAATGAAAGAATAAATGTGGGATGGAATGAATGATATTTGAGTCAACTCACTGTTTCAGGAAGAGTAACTTCAAAAGGGTGCAATAAAAGTCCAGAGGTGAAGTCTGTTTTATGTGTCCTTCACTTAACTTCTGCCATATCCCAAGAGCTGAGCAGAGAGGAAAATTTCTCAGGCAGTAAAAAACGTGACAGAACTCCAGTGAAAGTGGACCACACAGTGATCCTCCATCTTCAGACATCACAGGCACATGTTATTTAGAGATTCTGGCTGGATAACACACATACCTAAGGGGCAAAGGTCTGGACAGGAGGATTCTGCCGTCAAAGTAGGCATTAAATGACCCCTGGCCTGTAGTATAGAGGCTATGTATGGCATCTGACCTATGGCTTAGACATCTAGCATTGGTCCAAATATATCCCCAGACTGAAACATAGCCAATAAACTGTAAAAATCAGAAGACACATTTGGTTGAACTGGAGAAATCCTGGGCAACATTTTGAAGGTACCTCAGATAGCCTATTGACACTCAAGGAACTTCAATATGTTCAAAACTTCAAGAACCACACAATATTTCTCTTTAAATGCAAGATCTGAAATAAAAACTAGAAGTAGAATCAGGTTTAATCAAACAAAAGCATGCCATTTCAGCTGTTACAAACCGAGAAGTAACAAAGAGATAGGCTATGATCAAAAGTGTTAAATGCCCAAAACTCGAAAACAAGGGATAAAAAGTCAATAAAATCACTGTAGGTTCTTTGAAGCGCAGGGGCCCTTATGTAACGTCAGTATCGAACCGAAACAACCCCTCAGATTCACACTCGCCTCCCACGGTGATCCAGGACATCTAGGTGTTGCTAGGCAACAGGTGTCCTGAAAAACTCTACAGTGGACATAATAAGTTTAAAAATAATTAAAAGACCAAACAGCATCAGATAAACTTTAAAACAAACACATATTTTATAAAAATCAGCCTAATTTAAAAAACATATAATAATCTTACAGACCTTTAAGCTAGAGTAGGTAATTTCAAACAGGCTAACAATAGCAGGCTAGCTTTTGAAGCATATAAGATCCCACCTTCCTTCAAAACACATAAACGCAAAGCATCACGAGACAAGAGACGATTACCTCATGTCTTAAAGCACTTAACATTAAAGTAATAATGAATGTAAACAACTTACAGAACTCCAGATGTACCACTTGACGACTGCAGGTTCATTTCACCATTGATAGTAGTGTTGATAGATAAAATCACATAAATCCGAGTCTGAGGAGGGAACCACGGGTTGCTAATTTCGTAACGGTAACGCAGCATAAGCTTGCTGTTTTGGTTCATGAGCAACTGTGTACGATATAAGTACATAACAAAAAAAGTGTGTATGAAAGAAATTGCCCACCCTACCTATAAACTTTTGAATGGTAGTGTACAAACATTATTCTTGAAGCAAGTGTGCTTTAAAATTTAAAAAGTGGGAACGTTTTGGTTTGAATAATATTTCTAACATTAAAGCCTCAAGCTAAGCTTTTATAGAACGAAAACAATAATTATCGTCAAGCACATGCATGAGCAAGGCAAAACGACACCACGCAAATATATGTGGTTTTTTTATGAATGCTTGCCATAGCTATGTGCTATTACACATGACGGTAAAATCACAGTAGCCATTCATCTACACAATCTCACAGTCACATGCAAAGTCAGTCTTTGTAGGTGACACTGTAAAATCATATCCACACAGATGATGAAAGGGTTTCAAGCATTCATTTAGAGTGTGGATGCTTTGTTTAAGACACAGGACCTTGTTAGTGTGTGTTGACATCATGTGAGGCCTATGACTTGTGCCTTCTTGCTCCAGTGGGACGGGCGGCTTCTTCATTATTCATGATTCGCCTTGCTGATGCTATTTATACCAGCGTTTTGACTCATCACGCTCCAGTGATTCTTTCTCCTTCTGGAAAATTGTCCATGTGAGGACCATGATTGTACTTCCTCAATACATTTTAAGGTCTTTGTGCTGCTGCATCTGTAATAAGAAGGCAGAAAAACTCATCACCGGGATCAGAAATTATTTATCACAGTAATTCCCCTAGTTTTATTCCTATTTGGGAAGAATGCATCAGAGGGAGTAGACATAAAACATTTAACCGAGTAGGCTATTGTGCAGACAGTAAAATAAACACAATAAAGGTAGGAAAAAAGCTAAAATGTTAACATTTTTATCAAATACATTTGCATTCTGGGTACAAATTTGTTATTCGAACCGTGAAAATCGTCTGTGGGTTGCAGGTCTTCGTTCTCTAGGGAATCTCTTTTCGTCTGGAGAGGAAACTGTAAATGCCAAGTTTCTTCACATGGGAGCCTGCCCCATTAAAAGAGAAAGAGGTTTTGGAGCATGTAATTTCAACAGCAGTCCACTGGCCATCTGCGAATGCTGGCCTGCACCGGGCGCAGCTGTTTAGTAGCAGTATCAAATATAGAGTCAGATGTCAAAGGCGCGACCACCCATTTTAAAATCATATTCATAGAACAACAATGACTTCAATCTCAAGTGCCTCCCAACTCAGAGGGATTACACTAATATACTCCTGATGAAAAAGTATCTTAAAATCCTAAAGTTGGCTGGTCTTCCAGCCTGGCCAAGCTGGTTAGCTGTTCACAGAGCCTGGCCATCTTAAAAGTGCCATTTAAAACCTAAAAAATATGAAAGCATAATGCAAATGCATAAGATATTATAAAGTTGACTACAAATTCAATACAAGCAGGCAATTTCATAATTAAGTACACACTCGTATATTTAAAATAAAAACATTACAAACTTTCCGAAACTTTCTGTGTCTGACGCACAGTCATTGTCAAAGTATACAAGAAAAGTCTGCCATCTAGTGGTGTTTTCTACGCAATGACCTTTCTTGGCTCCAGACCAGTCAAACCAGTCACACTTCCCTAATAAACATTTCCCATGTTAACCACGGCTTCCAAAATACCATAATACCAAAACAGAATATCCCTTTCCTATAGCTATAATTTATTTCAGAATTTATTAGAAACATGATTTCATATTTCAACACAGAAACAGAAGAGTTAATTTATTTTTAGACTATTATAGCATATATTATTTTGAATTAGCTTATTTTTATAGCCTACTTTTCGTTGTTTTACTTTTATTTTAAGTTTGTAGATTTGTGTTTGTTATATCAATTTAGCTTTAATTTAAGTTTTAGACGTTTTCCCTCTTTGTCGCCATCTCTGTTCGAAATCTGCAATTGCAGTCATTCGCGGAATTGTCAACTTTGAGGGTGAAAAATGATTAGATAACAACACGGACCAGAATCAGGTTTAATAATAAACTCACAGTAGTATTTATTTTTACCATCATACAGTTCAGAAATTTAATTCATAAAGACACACATATCCAGCCTGATGAACGTTTATTGAATAAAGCAGAAAGAGGAAATGAACATCACTTTGTAGTTCAAAAAAATGCAGAACGGTCCCACATAGAAATGTACAGGAAAAATTGCTTTGTGTAGGGCTAAAGTATAATACTTTAAGCATTAACTTGCTAAAAATAGAGATGTATTTATCAGTTTACTGTGCTTAAGTGCTTACAGGGGTTGTTAGATTAGAGCTGGACTCTACTCCGTGATGCCAATAACACCACAGGCCAGACGACCTCCAGCGTTGCCAGTTTTCAAACTTTCTTCATTGCCTCCCTTACCCAAGTCATCCTCCTTCTCATGGATCTACAGCAGAAAAATACATAGTCTAATGTTCAACAGTTATTGCCATTACATGTACCGCTGGTTCTAAAACCACAGAGTTGTTTTCTTACCACCATGGTCCTCCCTATGATGGAGTTTTGCCCTGACAGGGTCAGCATTTTGTCCACAATGTCAATTTTTGCAACCCCATTTTCACCAGCTGTCACATTACCAAGGTCTCCGACATGTCTATGAGACAGAAAATATTACAGAGTCAAGACACATCTACTAGCACACAGCTGCTTGAAATTATAAAGAAAAGATACTGCAAGCAGAATTATGTTTCAATTGCGTTTTCACAAGCCACATTCCCACTGTTTTTGACCCATTTAATATAAAATAATAATTAGGATAGCATTTAAAAATATATATATTTATATACACAAAGTTATTTTCAGAGGGTGTGAAAGGAAATCAGCATTTTCATATTGTGATTTAATGTTGATCAAGAATGATCACTCAGGTGATTGGTTCAAACACTGTGCAACCACCATTGAGATGAATAAGAAAGCTAACAGACGGATTACTTTAATACATACCTGAATCCCATATAATTTAAGACTATTAAGGAAGTAATTTGAGGGATTTATGCATATCTGACAACTTTGGTCATGCCATTTAGCACATTGATAAACTCACCTGACACTATCGGTTGGTCCACCGTGATTTTGTTTGTGAGGGTTGAAGTGCGGACCTGCACTGACGCAGCCTGTGATTAACAGAGGAAACTATATCTTAGTCTGGGTTCATGTGTACATTTTCTGGTTGCTGAACCCCATTCAATAAGACATCTAAAATCAAGACCAGTCGCATTTTTTAAAATGATAATTATCAATCGATAACTTGTTGTTTGGCCAGTGTCAGCTTTTATTTTGAAATCACAAATTATATTAGTAATGGTGCTTACCATTTGTGTTGTCTCCAAAAGCATGGACATGGAAACCATGCTTTCCTGCAGTAAGGCCACTGATTTCACCTGAGAGCTTCACTGGAGACGAGTCGCTCTAAAACACACAGATCACTCGCCTGGTCAATGGTGGTTTCATATCACTTCAGAAAAACTTTTACTGCTTGACATGAAGATACATGGTGCTAACAGCTCCAAGGGAATGTTTCCTGTAAGCTGAAGCAGCAGAAAATATTAAAATACCACACAGAGGACAGACATAAAATGTGAGGGAAATTTGATTGAAAAATAATCAGTGCTCTGGTCAATCGCTATAGAGTGAAAACTGGTGAATGCGGTTTACAGGTTTCATAGAAAGAGAATGACGTGAGCGTGTGTGATTGGCAGTGAGTCGAGTGTGTGGATAAAATAGCTCAATACGAGAGGCAACAAAAAGTCGTGAAATAAAATCACTTCATAACGTTTTAAAGAAGAGTGAAGAGTTAAAGTGATGGAAAATAACTGTTGATGGACACAGAACGGTAACAATCACACACCCGTGTGAAACTCAAAATACATTTAAATGGATGCGTTTTTGTGTGGGGGTTTTTTAGGTATGGTTAGATTACTATTAAAGAGTTCACATATTCACTTTTCTTGAAAATATTTAGCTATTAGATCCATTTAAATGCGTCACTTTGTTTTCATATTATAATATAAGCATTTAATATATCACTACAGTTTTTTAATATTATATTAGACCTAGATTTTATTATATTATAATCCTTAATAATCTAACAAGGGTATGGTTTATGGTATTAGGACTTTTATTATATCATAAGCCAAATAAAGAATACACAAGTGTATTGTTTAGGACTCATTGCCATTAAAAAGTTTGAAACCCCCTGCTAAAGAAAATATTGGAAATTCATAAGCAATAAACAAATCATTCAACTTTGGTTTAATGCTTCCTGTACACAATTAATTGACAGTACAAAAACACTTAATGGCCAAACCATCTCAGTGTAACAGCTTACTTTTCTTTCGTACTATTTTCTATTATTGTAAAGAATTGAGCTGTCCTGCAGAAGATTTTGAACATTAGTTGTCATAGGATTTATTGGCAAATACTCGTAATTTGGTATACTTGGTAATATGGTTAACAGCACTGTAAAAATAATGTAACCTAAAATGCACTTAATTTAATGACTGCGTATACTGCTTGTTTTTCAAAATTATGATTTAATACCTATAAGTTACATCAAGCGTCAAAATTTGAAATGGCAAGTTAAGTTACTGAATGTTGAAACCATTGTGTTTCTACGTATGCTGTGTGTAATATGGTGCAATATTTTTGCTCAGGTGGCGTAAAATTTCCGCCCAATTTTGCACAAGGTTATGGGTTTGATCCAGGAAATGCTCAAATGTATAACGTTACCTGAAATGCAATTAAAGATAAACAAAGGCTCTGGTAAATGCTTAAACGTAAATTTGACAATGCTAGATGAAATGAAGATTAAAAAAAAAATCACAGTGCCAGCATTAGATGTGTGCTGTGATCTCCGTCCTACTTGGCAAAATTGACAGCAAACAGAGATAACGTTAGAGCATGACTCAGCAAACCTTTCCCTTCTAACGTTAGTCATTTCATGAGACTTTTCCCATTACAACATTTGCTACTTACCGGTTATGCGCATGTGCAGGCTCCGTTTTTTTTTACAAAAGATACATTTTCCTGTTATAATGTATAATTTCCGGCCACTAAACGCCTCTTTGCGTCCCCAAAGTACAAATTTCAGGTGGAAACGCATGTGGTTATAATTTGCATATGCGTTTATAAAGAAAAATTATTAGAATGCACGTGCACGAAACGTAGAGCTGCCACCGCATCAAAGGTCATTACTGAGCTTAGCTGCATTAAACGATTTTAATGCATTATACAATAAACAGTCAAAAAGCGAACACATGTAACAGGCCGTTGTAGTTCATTATCAGGTTTGGCCATCAAAATGTGCATGGAAGCAGCAAAGCGAATACCGTGCAACCGCATATTACGCTAATCTCGCAGTAATGCAAGGTTAACTCTTAAATATCACTTGTAAAGTTTATGAAATGCAATGTGCGTGGTTTCGGGCTAGCTCGCTGCGAGCGCTGCTCTCCATTAAACACACGCCGTAGAAAAACACATACACATTTTTTTTTTTTTTTTTTTTTACCTCTTGATCGAAATAAACTGTTCCGGTTACTTCCCCGGTGCCTTTTAGGACACAAACAGCCTTTTTCGCCATGTTGCCTTTGGATTATGCAAACTGTGAAGTCAAGTTGTGGGAGTGAAATAAACCGATATAAGAGAGGAGGCGCGTGTGTCGATCTGACCAATCAGAAGGCTGAACGGATTGGTGGCCGCTGATTGGGTCAAATTCTGGCGTGTCACACAGTCAAAGTGACGTAATGTCTAATACGCCACAATAGTATGGAACTTTTTTTGTTTTACTGTATTAATAAAGACCTCATATCAATTAAATCCTCTGAGAACAAATAAGCTTTTAAACATTATGCTTGCAATTCATTTCCTATTTTAGTGACATATTGTAACTAATTCTCAAAACGTCAATACTTCAATTTTTTCATTTTCGGCTTTATTTTATTCCATCGTTATTTGCTAGTCTGTATATTTCCGAGCATTAATCTAATTTAAAAAAAAAAGTTTGGAGAAAAATGTCTTCTAGATGTTTTATAATGCATGTTCAACATAATAAAACCAAGTGGCCTACAGAAAACGTTTATGGTGACTGTAAAATACTCCATATACAAACTTTAAAAACGCTATAGATATTATGCTCATATGGAAGATAATGCAATAGACAAATCACATGGCTGTCACACTGATCTTGACATATGGTCACAACCTGTCCTCTAATTTCAGTCATGACCCATTCATATAGATATAGATGTTCTATTCAACCCTTGACAAATGATTCAGGAATAGTGTCACATGAAAAATTCAGTTAAGAGGAAATCTGCTTGACTAGGGCAAAAGCACCGCAAAGAAGGATCTGTTCATTCATGATTCATTTTAAACTTGATCACCTTACTACTAGTTGGCAGAAGTATTTATAAATCACCAGGGTAAATGTTAAAATAGATTGAAACAACTTGAATAAGACAGTTCATTCATTTGGTATGAAAATATTTTATTAAAACCACCTCCCTATCGCTGAAATATTTGGAGTTCTTATCTCCAAAACTTAAAAATTATAAAAACATCTTGTGTGTTTTTTTTGCAAACATTAAGTTAAAAACATTACAGCAAAAGGGTCTTAATATCTTCTTTTAGTCAATGTTTCCATTGAAACACAACAGGGATATCATTGTAAATAAAATAAAAAAACACACACAAACACAAAAAAAACTGCCAGTCAAAATCTACAAATACCATTTGAGTAATGTTAGCATATTTACAGCAAAACCATTAATCGATTCTTTTCCTTATCTTCAGTTTTAATACAACATTCAAGCTTCATTGAGGTGGTACAATAAATTCACAAGGCAACGCTCCACGTTTGCCAAATGACGCTTAACAAAGTCTGAAAAACTTGGTTTGCGATGATGAACCAAGCATCCTATGCATATGCATCCCACAACAGTTGGACTTTGCTTTCTTGCCAGCAGCATTCACGATTAGCACTGACTTGGAAGAAGCTCATATGGTCTTGTTTAAAAAGAGGCCTCTATGACTCTTCTTTATGCGTTTGTTCAGCCGATTTGTTTTCTGCAATAGGTTCTGAGGCTTTCGAGTCTGCTATGGCTGCAGTGGAAGGTGTTGGAACATCTGGCTTTGCTTCAGGTTCTTTAGTAGAGTTTGCGCTGGGCTCGTTGGTATTCGCTGCAAGTCTCTCATTGGGTTCCTCGTTGGTGAGACCCAGTCGATCGAGTCTATCGTCTCGGTCCCATCGTGTGCTTCTCTCTCTGCTCCCTGCGGACCGCCTGGTCCGTTCTTCGCCATCCCGTCCTTTATCATCCCGTCCTTTATCACGGTCCCTCTCCCCGTCCGGACTCCTCCTCCAGTCCCTGCGTTCCCTTTCTCTGTCCCACCCGCTTTGTTTTTCCGGCTCCTCGTGCCAGCCTCCAAATCTTTCACGGCTGTCTGGCCTCTCCCCTCCACGACCCTCGCCAAAAGGGCGCCGCCCTCCGTACCAGTCCGGTTCTCGATCTCTGCCCCTTCCTAACCCGGACCGCTCGCCTCTGAACGGCCTCGCCTCGTGCTCATTCGGCCCGTCTGGTCTGGGTCCGCTCGGCCTCATAAAGGGAGGTCCGGGAGGGGGGAATGGCCCCCTCATACCATGAGGAGGGGGCGGCATGCCAAATGCCCCAGGGGGTGGCTCGCGGTGCATCATCTGAGGTGGACCCCTGGGTGGCATCATCTGTGGGGGGATGGGTGGCATACCAGGGCGAGGAGGTGGAATAGGGAAGCGCTGCATGTGTGGGGGCGGCATCCCCGGGGGCCGCTGGAGAGGCATCATACCCGGCCTTGAACCTAGAAGACCCGGTGGAGACTGCATGCCCATCCCTGGTGGACCTCCAGGAGGCACTTGGTTTCCTGAGGAGCAAATATTTGGGATTATGAATTTATTCATCAAGAATAAACTAAATTGCTCAAAAGTGACAGTAAAGACATTTATCTTTTGAACTTTCTATTAATTAAAGAATGGATCACCGTGTGTTACACACAGATGCTAAAACCCACCTGAGTTGTACCCATCTGCTCCATCACTGTTGATTCTTGGGCCCATACCTGATGGATCGTTCGAAAGGTCTTCAACTGAGTTGCCAACTACAGGAATTAAAGAGGAAAAATCAGCTCAGTGTTACTTTCAAGATGGGAAATTTAAAGAAGCTAAACAGGTTTACTGGTTAAGACTATAAAATTAGATAGGGTGTATAACAAAGGCCGGCTACCTGGAGGCATGCCGATCCCTGCTGTCGGTGGAGGAGGCCCCGTGGCACCCAGAGGAGGCATGGCACCCGGGGGGAGAAATACTGAAACAAAGAATGCGTGTTACAAACTAGGCACAATACTTCTCCAAAAACAAAACACTTATCCTTACTAGATATTTCAATTCAACTTTTATCAACATCATCACTAGTTCTGTTGTACCTGGTGGCATCTGCATGGGGTTAAAGCCTGGCCGAATGAAGGGACCCGGGGGTGGGGGAACCCCAGGTGGGAATGAGGGGGGAGGAATGTTCATGGGTCCTGAGAATCCTGGAGGTGGGACACCAACAGCTCCCATTGGCTGGACAGGCGGAATCTGAGGTTGAACGAAAAAGGAAAAATGAATAAAAAAAGGACCAAACCCAAACCTTTAGGAAAAGGAACCAGGGCATTATGAATTACCTGCATAGGTACTACAGTTGGGGTGTCCTCTACTTTTCCCATCTCAGGTCTGCCATTCTGTGACTCTTCAGCTTTCTCTAGCTCAATCTGAGAGCCCCTCCACTCTGTAAATGGACAAACCATATAATATAATGTGTCCTAAATGCCTAGAGGAATTACATTACCAATAAGTTCCAATATTTACCTGGTGCAAGAGTATCAGGATCAAGCATCCCTCCTTCTCTGAACACATCAAGGTCCTCCATCTTTGCCTTGGACCATGGTACATAGGTTACACCCAATTCCACATCCCAATACTGCTTGAACTCAGCCTTAATGCCCTTATTCAGAGCCCAGGCAATCTGGAGAAATATATAGTGATGCAATGAGTTCAGCCAACTGTTTTCACATTGATCACAATATGAAATGTTTTCGAGCACCAAATCAGCATATTAGACCGATCACTGACTGTTTTCATCGACCTATTTTTATGCATATTTTGGGATACTGCATAAAAAAGCTGAATGGAAACACCCAAATCCATAAATTCTAAAAACTTCTAAACCAATAAGAAAACATGCGCATAAACTGCAATAGAAACACATTTACAGAATTATTTCCTCGATGCGCATCAAAAAAGATGAGAGTGAGATGGGACAGCATAACTGGACTAACCAGTGGACAGTTCTCATTAAGGCCAATTTATACTTCTGCGTAGGGTGCGCGCAGTAGGTACGGCGTAGCATACGCACAGACGCGTCCCATACCGCGTACCCTTCCGCGTTGCCTGACGCGCACCTCTTCAAAAATGTAACTACACGTCGCGACGACGCGGACCGCAAGATCGGTGATTGGTCGGCTTGGTAGCGTCGTATTTCCTCATACGCATTTCCGCACGTACCTTCTCACGCATTTCCACACGTACCATCTCCTCCGACGTCTTCTCTCATTTCTGCCTTTCAGGTTTAGTAATTTCACTAAAATGAACTGTTTTTTCACCCCAATAAGCTCCAACTCCATCATGATCCACTCTCTTTCAGTCGCTATTGCTTGTAGTAACCTAGCCGCGAGGAATCTAAACACAGTGGAAAATTAAAACCCTCCGCCGCCTCCTAGCGTTTCGGAGCAGTACTGCAGAGCAACCAATACCTGAACGCAGAAGTATAAATGCTCACAACGGCGTCGCCTACGTGCGAAGCCAACGCCGTACACTATGGCGTACCCTCGACGCAGAAGTATAAATTGGCCTTCACACAGCATCTGAAATTCGGCTCAATGGATAAAAACTGTTCTTTATTTGCAATTGTTTTATGCAATATTCCAATTTTGGACCTCTTCAAGTTAAATTATGGATGGAAACATAGCTACTTAAAACTGAAGTAATGATGCAGAAAATTTAGCTTTGCATCAGCAATAAATTACATTTTATTTTACATTAAATAAAGATCAATGTATCAGTTTTTACAGTATTTCTGATCAAAATAAAGACTTGGTGAGTAAGAAACTTCAAAAATCCATACTGACCCCAAACTTTTGAACATCATTGTACATTTTGTGTTGAACTACACTTTAAAATATTAAGTTACTAGAAAGACAATGCTTCAGAAGCTCTAGATAGAATATCTCTCTAAATGATCAGATCAACTATAATAAAGTTCTACTTTGACAATTTTAACCAAAACAATGCAAATTATAATTATATTTCAATCACTTTCTTTCACTCTTCTAAGAATACAGTCCTGGTCAGATTTATTGGCACTCCTAGTAAATATGAACAAAGAAAAATAGACCGTAAAAACAAATCTGCAGTTAACCCTTTTGACCTTTTTTCTTAAAATATATATATATAATCTCAAAATCTAAACTTTCATTGAAGTTACATTAATAATATTTCACAATTTTACAGTATTTTTGATCAAATAAATGCAGCCATGGTACCCATAAGTGTCTTCTTTTAAAAAAAAAAACCAAAAATCTTAAACATAAGAAAAAATATTATCGATATACATGCATATATAAATATTTTTACTCCATATGTTTTTTGCATATTTATGCATTTTGACAATTTGTTTAAATAAAGTAAAACAAAAATATTTTGTAATAAAATAATCATCTGATACCTTAATGGCTTTCTGGTTGACTTTGTATGGACCTCTGCTTAGTTTCTGCAGGGCTCGATAGGCATCCTGACGGTGGATCATGACAATGTAGGCACAACCACGAGGAGGAATCATCTATCAAAATCAGACAAGACAAAATGAGACTTTAGCACAGAAATCAAGAAGAACTTAAATATGCTTAACATAAAACTCTAATTCTAAAAAAAAACATACATTAATTGAATCTATCTGCCCAAACTCCTCTAGTAAACAGGCCACGTCCTGCTGCTGCGTCCTCTTATCCAGCTGACCCACCCATAGAGTTGTACTGCACACTGAAAGAGAGTTACAAAATCTTACAGAAGGTTGTTCAGTACTTTATAACAGGCAAATAACACATAATCGGGACGGGAGGCTATAGCATTGAAAGTGGCCTTGCTTACCACTGAGAGTGTTATTCTTTATAGGAGGAAGGCCTTTCTGTCTTCGTTCCCTTTCCTTTTCTCTGTCTCTCCTTTCCTGTGACCGTGAGCGAGGTGATTGACGCCGCCGTTCTCGAGAACGGGAGCGAGATCGCCGATGCCGCATTCGTCTGGTGCGGGAATTGGATCTAGACCTCCTTCTTTTAGGAGACCTGAAACAAAACAACAACATTTAGTCATTGTAAATCAATATTATTATTTTTTTATGGAATATTGCAATATAAATGATTAATCAGGGCACTTTTTTATGGTTTCAAATAAATTTCCCTCCCTCTTGCAGCGACATCTTTTCTCTCATGATGCGTTTACTGGAATGAGGGCAAGACACCCTCCTGTCATTCGCATGACCTCACAGAAATAGCAAACCACAACCATCCAATCAATTCTCCAGGGAACCAAAATCATAAGAGGGAAGAAAGACTATCACAACCTCCACTTCATGACGACTTTAATGTTGACACCAAAAAAAAAAAAAAATTGTTTATTGGTTTAGTGATTTGTTGTACACACCTTGACCCTGAGCGCGACCTTGATGTTTTCCCATCGGGCAAAGGCCTGGCGGATGCATCTGAATTCATCATTTCCTGTGCCACATGTTAAGGATTAGCATTAAATTCAACAGCAACGGTTAAGATATAATTTTCTAAATCATTTTACCTGATGCTGATGTCCAGCCATGAGCTGATTGAAGGTGTCGTTCTGAGAAGGGAAAGCTGTGTGCGGCTGACCCATCAAGGGCATCATGCCTGGGTAGGGCTGAGAAGTCATAAGACCAAAGCCTTGGACCGGTCCATTTGAAGGTAGAACGACCTGAGCACACAACAAATACAAACAAAAACATGACCAGAGATTTATTAAAATGTCATCAAAATTTGATTTCAGCCCAATATGTTCAGCCCTAAAGTAATCTACCTGTTGTCGCTGAGATACAGCCATCATATGTTGTTGAAAGTGCTGCATCTGATTGGCTGGAGGAAATCCTGGGACGGTCTGCTCAGGAAATCCCCTGCAGAGACAAACGAAAGAAACTGAAAATTCTGCACAAAACTGAGCAGATGAGATACTGTATATCAAGATGTAGTAAATGAGATGCTACTTACATAGTAGATTGAACAGACGGCGTTTCATCCTTCTTGGCTTCCTCACCACCTTCTGGCTCATCATCATAGTCAAAGCGGTCCAGAAGTGTCTGAAAAAAAAGAGGAGGAAAGAGAACGTCAATATCTTTAAGCCCAATAGGAATGCACAACACAACATATTTCCAAAATAAATTAGGTTGGTTTGGGGGTCACGTGACTCTATTAAGACACATTTATTGGGTACATTGTAATTAAAGCACTGCCACACAAAATTATTATACAAATACACTTATAAATAAATAAGAAAATTTGAAAGAAAACTAACTTTTATATAATTAATATACACTATCGTTTACAAGTTTGGTAAACTGGTGAGAATTTTTTAATGTTTTTGAAAGAAGTCTCTTACGCTCACATTTATTTGATTAAAAATACAGCAAAAAATATTACAATTTAAAATACCCATTTCACATTTTAATGTATTCCTGAAATGACAAAGCTGAATTCATGTCACACGATCTTTAAAAATCATTTTGATAAGCTGATTTGGTGAGAAACATTATTATTAATGTTTAAAACAGTTGTGCTGCATAATATTTTTGTGGAAACAGATACATTTCTCCTTTTCAGGATTCTTTAAAAGGAATCTGTAAAAATATCAGCATTTCATTGAAACAAAATAATGTACATATAAATGTATTTAATGTCACTTTTTAACAAATTAATGTTGAAAATGAAATTTCCATTAAAAAATTTACTTTTTCCAATGGTCTACATATATTGAGAGAGATGCATGATTAGTTGGTTGTTGGATAACTTGTCTTATAACCCATTCCTTCCACCTTGTTTTCAGATGACAGGGCTGTCTGTTTTTTTAAATACCCATGAGCAAGTTCAAAAACTTGTAGGGGTGGTGATGGCGCAGGGAATTGGACACATGCCTTTGGTTTGAGAGACCCGGGTTCAAATCCACTGCGAGACACCAATGTGTCCCTGAGAAGACACTTAACCCCTAGTTGCTCCAGAGGCGTGCGACCTCTGACATTTATAGCAATGGTAAGTCACTTTGGATAAAAGCATCAGCTAAATGAATAAAATGTTATTTCACCGTATCAAAAGTGGCTTTCTTTTCCACAGGCTGTGGTGCGGGATGGGTGTGTTGATGTGTGAGGGTGGACGAGGTGGCCGTCACAGCCTGGGCCTGTAGGTGGAGGTGACTCCTGTTATTGTCCACAGCTGGAGACTGAGGTTTCCCCGGCGGCTGAAAGTTCTGCAGAATCTGCTGGAGCTTCACAAAACAGCCAACATATGAATATCCCGACAGGATTGAAAAGATTTTATATCATTGTTTATGCTGAAAACACAAGGTGTTCATGTGCAAACAACTGATATTCAGTGCATTCATTCAACTAACCTGCTGTCCTTGAGAAGACTGAATTAGTTGAGCGACAGCCGCAAAAGCATCCGAGGTCTGAAGCTGAGGGGCAGCTGCTGCAACCGGGTTTGCCGTCGGCACAGGATGAGCCTCCTGATCCCTCACTGGAGACTGTGGGGATGCTGCAGAAACACATCAAAAAATTAAGTTATTATATGTTAGTAAAGTAGTGCGTCTTTACACTCTCATACTTCTGAGCTGCGAGACAATGTTGTACAGCAAAACAAATGTCATACCAAACAAGCATCGCTAAAAATCACAGCGCCTTGCATAATGTTGCATATCAGCGTTTTACCTGCATCAGGGCCGCTGTCAAAGCCTGTGGAGCTGCTGGATCCAGCAGCCATGTCCAAGAGAGGCTGGATCACGTCAATTTTAAACACTCCATTCTTCTGCCATAGGTTCAGCACTCTCACTATCTTACTCTGGAGGAGGAAGAGAAATATTATAAAGTAAGCTATAATTTAAACCACACGAGGGTACTGAACAAGGAGCTGTATAAAAAATTTAAAAAAAACATGGAAAATATTCTTACCCGATCCTCTGTGGGACACAAGCATAGATTCTCAAATGTCCCAGCAATGTTTTTGGTGAACCTGGGTCCAAACACATCTTTTTCTGCACCAAATTGATGCCGTGACTGTCTCACGATGGAATCCACCACGTAGAGCCCTGGAACTTTGTACTCAGGTTTGCACTGTGCACATAATAGCATTTAGTTAATAAATACAACCAACAATCATCCAATTCGAATTCAGTTCAGATGGGCACCTACCTTCTTTATGAATTTTTCGACAATTTGAACAACATGCTTGTATAACTGGAAGACACAAACAATTGAGAAAGGATTAAAGGGAAGGTTTTCAAATACATGTTCAAGTAGCTTTGACTAGGATGAGAAATCTCTGTGGTACCTGCACAAACACACACTTTAATATATTAAAACCAAACAGGCATTAGGTATCGGGTGTCTGTCAAACTTACTTTAATGGCTTTTATGGCAGATTTGGTGATAGAGATCATCTTGGCCCTTGAGATGGGAGGCTTGGTGTCCATCAAGGAGAACAGCTGCAATGAAGCCATAAAGTAATATTAATGCATGCAGCATGATATATGATGCTAATAATGGCTGAAGTAAAAAGTAGAGCATGGAAATTTGATTACTGGGTAATATATTACACTGAAAGCTTAACATTGCAGTCAATGAGTGCAACCTGTACTTACTATACAATAATTTTACACTAAACATGAAAAGTACTAGCAAAGTAGCTATACCATGACAGAGTGCCATGTAATTACCAATATGGTAATAATTTTCTACAGCAGTGCATTTCAAATTAGCACGCTATTACCAACTGATCCAATCTATGTTTTTGTAAGGGATATGTTGATGATAAAACAAGCTTCACTTCTTAAAATGAGCAGCTTTATTAGATTAACAGAACAGAAGGCCTTTCCATAATTTATACACTTTTTACAAACACAGCACCATTGCATGGTTGAGCGTAATTTATTGGCACATTCAGACTTGCTATACTGAATTTCTTGTGGAGAGGAGGAAACGTTTTAAAGCTTGCACTTTTTTCAAAGTTAAAATACTTCACCGTATTCCAGCTTACTATTCTGAGACCACTGTAATAAGTAATTTATATGCTGATGATTTCCCTGGAAAACGTATGAAATCACTTTCACAATGTTGTTTAAAGAGTGCAACAGTTTGGTTCCAGAAGTAAAAATCCAATTAATTTTCTCTTTACAGGAACTGATATTTTAAAATAGCTCATAAGCGTTAAAATACATACCTACTGTAAGCTAAAAGGTTATTAATCGATGATGTTATTGGGTATGCCATCAGCCTGTATTATTTCAACTTGTTTGTTAGGTTTTGAGCTGCAGAATTCCTGGTGAAAAACTACATTACATTTTTGACCCCTTATTTCACATTGCAGATGGTTGGTTTTGGTTCATTGCTTAGTTATAACTCGTTAAAACCACTATGTGAAATACTTCCAGAACCAAGGTTGCTAAAAAGGTGGAAGTTTTGGGGCGGGACTAACGATTTGGCTGACCAATAACGCATAAAAGAGCGTGTGGAAAAACATGCTTGAACACATTCATTGTTTTGGCAGTTCAGTTTGGTGTGTTTGGTGTAAAAATTACACACTTTACCAATAAATAGGCTTTATAAAAATAATAATAAAAAAAAAACGAATAAATACCCATATTTACATTAACAGCCTTGTTGAACTACAGTAGGCGGGGGTCTGATTTCTTAAAGGACCAGTAACCATTTTATTTTTCAAAGACAAGAAAAGATAGGAAATTATCGTTTACAACTATATTTTCACCGTTTTCGGTGCAAAAACTTCAGAATCAAGAAAGCATTAAGCAAATGCTGCTAAATGTCCATTATAAACAAAAACTGTGTCTTTGGTGGAACATCATTTTGCATAATTTAACTATTTCTGCCCACGATTGTTTATCTCGACTATCAGCGAGCAATGCAAAGTTTCAAAAAGACTCAACTGTGACAGGTTATGGGTCTTCCCTGAATGAACTCATGGCAGAGGAACTAACGTTTACATAGACATTGCGCGCAGACTGTAAACAACACGAGCACTAGTTTGTGTGACGTTTCATTACATTAGTAACGTTACATACGTGCATTCATACATGTTAGACCCGGCGTACAATAGCTTAAAGTAACATGCAAAGTGGATAATTGCAGATCACGCTGTCTATTATGATTATTAGGGCTGTTATTATAGCGTCCAAAAGTATCGTAATAGACATATCAAAGCATTTACACTAACATTTACGAAAGGACATTTTCGTATGATATGGTAGATCCAACCTGGAAGCATGCAACTGCGCATTTTAAACACTGAGGCCTTTATCTGGCTTGGGCCGTAGCAACACATTGAACGCCTGTCCTCAACAAACCGCCATTTTACTGCGGTTTCATCTTATTGAACACACACACACCTCATGATTAAAAGCGTTGACGGCATCCATGGTGTCCCGTCTCTGCTTTGCAGTCGCTTTCTCCGGTAAAAATATCAGAAATATATCTGGTACTGTCCTCCAGCAGGCCGCCCCAACATGTCCGCCCCTGGCAGCAGACAGCTCGGACTCGGAGTCGGCGCGGTGCTCGCAGTGCAGGATGGGATTGGAGAATTGTTGTTGCGAAGAATGGCCACTAGATGACGCTGAAAGCACGCATGGAAAATCCAGAGTAAAAATCGTATTTATTTTGAACCGATTGATTTTATAATATAAATATTTATAATATAAATATATTCTCATAAATATAAGCTACACGTGATAGTTAAAATGTAATTAATAGAAACAAAATAGTATACTTTTGGCTTTAAAACCAAATGGACACTGCTAATGCATGTGTCAGTTCGGTACAAGCATAATTTTCACCAAATTTATTAAACCAGTTGATGTTAAATTCACTGGACGAGATATACTGATGTAGATTTAATGCGAAATATAGACACGGATAATTCACATGTGCATTGTTGTTGTTGTTTTTTTCCCAACATGTTAGCTAAAATGCAGGAGGCTGCCTGATGTTCATCCCTTGACAGTTTGGATAAAACTGATGATTCAGTCCCTCTTTTGTGAGCAACTGCATTCACTTAAAACTTGCTAGAGGTCTTGTAATATGAAACAGCTGAGTTGAAGATCCTTTAAAATTAAAAAAGAAAAGAAAAAGACTGAGAAGCTTTGAATGTGTTCATGACAACGCATTATGTCTGTAGGCCTATAGACCTTCCCTGACCACCTTGTGCTAAAAATGTTTCGCTAAACGTCCTTGTTTATTGAAATTCACATCAGAAATAAAACAAAGTACACGACCATTCAAAAGTTTAGGGTTGGGAAGTTTTTCTTCCCGTTTTTGAAAGATGCCTCTTTTGCTCACCAATTAATGAAAATAAAGCTCATTTGAAATGGAAATCCTTTGGCTTTACTGACCTTTTTGAAATGAATGCATCCGAAGCCTAACACAGGTTCAGTGCAAATGTACTCAAACTGTAACTCCAACAGAGGGAATAATTTGTTAAAGACACATTTTTATCAATGGTTTATTTATGTGAATTGTCAAACATTTGAAATTTTTCCCATTAATCTCAGTGTCAGTGATTAAATAATGAGGAGATTACAATGCCTTTTTTTTTCATTTAAGCATTCAAATGCCCTTTTAATGTTGATAAACAGCATTTATGACATGAGTTGGATGGTCATGTCACGGTTCTCTAAAACTAATGGCTTCAATCCAAGAGTGACATCATGCAGCTAAAACAGATTCCTGCATCCGGCTGTTTGGATTGCTCACTGCCATTGTCTTAATGTTGGAAGAAGGAAATAGTGATATCCAGAGAAAGTGTCCAGCTTCATATGATTTATTTTGCATGTCTAAGTGACCAAAAAACATTGTGTAAGACCGTGCAATGTAAACCATAACTCTTGGCATTGTTTTTTGCTCCAAACGTTCAGGATTTCTGGAACGAAACGAAAGAAATGGGAATTTAAAAACAAAATGCACTCAAGTGGATACGACCGTTGAGGGACAAAACACTGCTTCTCTATGTTGCCATGGCATATCTGAGTAAGCTTGCACTGACATCTCGGGGAATGGGTGCATGCACACAGAATTTCCAGGTTGGGATGTGAAGAGGCTGCCAAAACCGCCTCGAAGAATAGTCTGCATCCATTCTTTGTGAAATGATTCTCCTCTGTGACCAATTCTTAGATTTAGCTGTTCCTTTGTGAGGGATTTCTTTTATTTACTTGGGTTTGGGGGCTCTGTGTTTCCATATCTTTCAGTAATAGAGTTCATGACCTTCATAAAATAGTCTAGACCAAAAGGAATAGTTTACTAAAGCTTAACCCTGTAAAGCCTGGCATATAAATAAGAAAAATCAGATTTTCATTCAAATATAGCAGTTTTTTGTACCTTTAGACAAAATATTAAAAATTATATGATATAGGAGAATATCTTTTAGGCCCAAACTGAGCAAAAATTTGCAATTTGTTACAGTTGCTGACATTAATATGGCAAAACCGTAAGATGACATTCTGATAACTTGTAATATAAATCATTGAGATCTTATAGCAACTATAAAATGCATATAAATACCATCATCTTCTAATAATCTCTCAGTAAGATATTTGAATGCCTAGTTTTATGATCAAGAATAAAATCAGGAAAGATTTCACAGCAACAAAAAAAGCACATTGTTTTAGATTAACTTTATGTAGATTAAATGACATTTAAAACATGTGACAACTTGCCCCAATCTGATATTGCTTTCTTTTGACTTTTTTTGATGACAGACACAGTATAAAGAGGATGACCCTAAATTATTAGAGTGAACTTCCACCACCACATGAGCAGCATGCCTGAGCACGTGCAACTGCTAGGCCATGTCTCGAACAAGCTAGTGTTATTTTTTACAATCATTCATTGTGTCACCACCTTTTCATCCTTTTATTCTTTCAACTTTGATTCACACTTTATCCTGAGGGCCGGCAGATATTTCCATCAGTCCTGTCTCCACTTGTAGGCCTGCAGCTTTCTCTTAAAAGTGCCATGAGTTAGAATTGAGGTAAAAATATCCAAAAAATGAGCTACACACATCAAAAGAATGAGAAGATAAGGGCGGTGATGTCATTAAAAAAAAAAGACAAGTTATAGTGCTGCAGAGATATCAACCTGAATTAGCATGCTAAATTACTAGCCACGACCCGACAGTTGTCATAAAACCAGTTTCAACATAACCACCAGCCAAACTGCAATACACTAATAACTGGCACGGCTTGTGGGCGTACGAACCTGGTTCATCCTGAACCTGAAAGTACATCCCACTATTACATTTCAGTTCAGGGAAGAGTTCAAAAATATGATTGTTCGATATTATGAATGTGGAATACATTTTGGTAAGTTTTAGCATGTATCTTTCAACAGTGTCCGTGTTTTTTTTACTAGTAGAGATGATCGGCTCACGTGCGCTAGGGATCTGTCTAACACAGTCTCATCCCAAGACGTCATATAACTGACGTTTTGGGACGTATTTTGACCATACGTCAATATCCGCCTTTTTAGGGCCCCCTTAAACGTCGGTAGATGGCGATCCCGGGCCGTCATACAACTGACGCTTTACCTTTAACGTCAGTTAGGTGACGGGTTAGGTTTAGGGTTAGGTTTAGGTATGGGGTAGAGTTAGGATCCCATAACCTCATCTACCGACGTTTAAGGGGGCCCTAAAAAGGCGAATATTGACGTATGGTCAAAAGACGTCCCAAAACGTCAGTTATATGACGTCTTGGGATGAGACCGGGTTGATCTGTCATAACATTTACAAGCGCCAAAACAGTATATATTTGAATTGCGTAATAAAATTGACAGAATCTGAGAGCTGAGAGTCTTTTTATATCATAACTAACCTGCTCTGTGCGTGACAAAATTGATGTATAGCAAGAGTGAGAGCGTGTGAAAAGTGTCAACTGCATGTCTCACGGTGAATTCGTGAGAGTTGCAGCTCTGAATGGCACTAGCTCAGACCAACTCACTTTCTGGAGCTATACTGCCCCCAGAATGTGGAGTATGAATTGATTTTTTGACACAAGGCACCTTTAAAGGTGCTCTAAGCGACGTCACACGTTTTTTAGGCCAAATCATTTTTTGTCACATACAGCAAACATCTCCTCACTATCCGCTAGCTGCCTGTCCCCTAAACACACTGTAAAAAAGCAAAAAAAAAAAAACTGCGGCAACCCGTTCCGCGAAACATGACAAACTGTTCCAGCCAATAACTGACAAGAAGGCCCTGGGGGTGGGGTTTGGGGGGTCAGTGCGCAAATGAGAAGAAGGGAGGGTCTATCTAGCCTCCGTTTTGTTTGAAAATACTTTAAACGTCAACAAGAAGTCACGTCACCCGACATCGCTTAGAGCACCTTTAAAGTAAGAATTTAGTTTGCATGTAATGTGTGTGAAATTACTTTCAACGCATTCTCATCCCAAAGCGCCATATAGGACGCTTTTGCAAAAGCGTAAATATCCAACGCACATGGCACCCTTTCGCATTCTCATCCCAAAGCGCCATATAGGACGCTTTTGCAAAAGCGTAAATATCCAACGCACATGGCACCCTTTAACGTCTAATGAGACGCTTCGGTTAATGGTTAAGTTTAGGTATGGTGTAGGGTAAGGGTTAGACCACTAGGGGGCGCCTTCTGCCCAAATATATATGCGTCTCATTTCACGTTAAAGGGTGCCATGTGCGTTGGATATTTACGCTTTTGCAAAAGCGTCCTATATGGCGCTTTGGGATGAGAATGGCTTTGGGATGAGAACGGGCTCGAAATTATGTGTAAGTGTTTGTCTGCATGCATTTTCCAATAACGTGTGGTTACATAAAGATGATTGACATTAGGTAACACTTAAGTTGGGTATATCTGAGTACACTCAACTTTTGAACTGTATCAATATTACTGCAACAGCACAAAAGTGCTAGGCCTATAGAAAAAAATACGTCTGAGCGCACCTTTAACCATATGTGGTGTCTGTATGTTAATTATTGATTTGAATGTTAATAATTTAAGTGGACTTTGTAAGGTTTTAGTAAAGGGCAGAACTTGAACTCAGTTGCTCAGATGAATGAAGCTGGAATGAGCAAGTGTTTGTCTTTCACTCATGCATGAACGATTAAGGTAAGAATCTTCAGTTAGTAAGTCAATTAGTAACAAATTAGTTGTGTTAGTTTTGCACATGAATAATTTCAGTGTTCAAAAACCTTTTGTGAGTGCAAATGAGAAATAATAATATTCGTTTTGTTTTATTTTACTGTTTGGTCAGGTACAATGAAGTCACATTTCATTATTGGATTATTTTTGGCCTTGTCTATTATCACCCTGAGCTGCCGCGGGGGTAAAGTTCTACTCTATCCTGTCGATGGAAGCCACTGGGTCAATATGAAAGTCCTGATAGAAGAGATGCACTCCAGGGGCCACAACATCACCGTGATCCGACCCCAGTCCAGCTGGTACATCACGGAAAAGTCCCCTCTCTACACGTCCATCACAATCCCAGACGAAACAAATTCATTTGAGAACTTTTTTGAAGAGTATTTAAAGAA